TATAGGTTGGAACTTTGCAATGACTGAAATTAAAGTCGTAGTTGCTACTGTATTGAGAAAATTTTCTGTTCATGTAGATGTCCCACTAAAATTGGAAGACATAGCTGTACAAATGGGTATAACAATGAAACCTACGAAAAAGATTTTTTTAAGGTTTAAGAAGCGATAATATTTATTATTATTGTTATTATTTTTTTAATCTTTTAAGAAATTGTTTTAAAATAAGCTGTCTGAAAACATTTCTTATGTCTTACCAGTCTTTAATGTTATCGGTATTTTTATTTTAAATTATAAATGATTCAATAGATTTATTAACGAAAAAAAATAATTATTAGAGGAGTAAGGGGTTTAAATAATTATTATTATTATTTAGGGGAGTAAGGGAGTAAGGGGTTGTGAAGTATACTAATGAGAATGTATAGGTAAACTTTTAAGAGAAACTGTTTGCACCATGTTAATCTTTATAATTCTAGAATAGTCAAATATATCTTTTATTATTAATAATAAAAATCATGTCTTTTTTCTATATTACCTTCTCCTCTGTTCTTACAAATTTGAAATTCAAGTTTTTGGAGTCAGATATAGTTAAGAAGTTGCATGCACAGTGCGGAAAGTTCTGGTAAAATGCAATGAGAGATCTAATAAAGATATTGTCTAGAAATGTTTTTTCAATCTATAGCCTGTCACACTTCGAGACCCTTATTATTTATAACATATTTCGTCTTTATTCTTTGGACCACAAACTTATCTTTCTAAATACTCTCGTCTAAATAAAAATCTGAACAACGAAAAATCTAAAAAATGCATTGAATCGTATCGCTCTGTCAGCTTATCGAATTGTGTACACTACGAGTCTCAAATTTCAGCCCCGTGGTAAGCTCCACCAATTCACGCTGGGCGTTCAACATCTTAAAAATGATTTTATTTTATTGAAACATTAGTATAAGTTTCTTAAATACGCAAATATTACAATTAATAATATAATTTTCTTACATGCGACTTAAAATGTGACAGTAACTTACTTGCTTTTGAATGGAATTTATCAGCTGCTCCTAATGTATTCTACAGTGTTCTCTAATTCTTTTTCTCTGATGTATCTTATAATAATTTTTTTTTTGTAAAATATTGCAGACAGTACATTTATTATATTCTATACATTTCATGATTATTAATGATAATATTTGCGAAATAAAGAATTTAATATAAATTTTTCAATAAAATAGAAACATTTTTTAATAGAAATAGAAAAATAGAAATAGAAAAATAGAAATAGAAAACTAGAAAAGAAATGACACGTATATATATACCTTCCAGACTCACACAGACTTACACACTTTACAACTTACAAAGACAGACTTCATACCTTCTTTCTTTATTTCGACCGTCGGTTCGTTTGGACCTTATACTTTTGTTGCATACCTACGTGCTTACCTCTGTTTATTCTTCTATCCTTCTATCGCTCCTACCAACAAACATTTTGAGTATCGAAATAATATGTGTCCACGCTTCGTAGTATCCAGTCGCAACAAGCACACACATATACAACCAGGAGCGATAACTACGAAGCAGAGCATAAAAAGGAGACCGAGAATGGGAAAAACTATATAGCTATATTCTGTCTCATTCTCTCGCAGGCTCAATCCTATATGTTTGTCTCTATTTCTCCTCTTACTAAATATCGTGGCCGTTGCCAAGAAGCCCACCGCTCCGTTGCCTGAACCACCCGCGTTTCATTTTTTTCAAATCATTCCCTATTCTAAAGAAGT